AATGACATGCCATTTAGATGCGAAAGTAAAATATCCTCATTTACACAGACCTGTGGAAACAGCGTAGCTTTAATATGGTATTGTGAATTATATTGCGCTGCTACTCGGTTTTTTCAGTTTTTTTTATTCCTTGTAAAAAAGGAGGAAGAATGGAGAGAGAAAGGGAAGTGTTGTAAAATCTGGAATTCTAATTATTTGCCAAAAAACGAGGAACGAGAACCCCTCCCTTCCTCTCCCACCCAATGCATCCTTTCTCGACCAGTAAAAAGTCCAAACCAAACAGGATAGGTAGCGAAGCTCTTTTGTTAGTTATGAAATAACATTTAGCAGAAGACTAAAATCTATTTTCTCAGGGGAGCAGGAAAGGTGTTGTAACAGAGGTAATGTCACGAAATTGCGTAGCGGATATCTAAATTTCTAGCCATTAATCGTCACTTTGGAGCTCTCGATAGCAGCAAGATGCAGCCACACTCTCAAAGTCACTGTGCCAAGTCCATTTCAAAAACTCACTGTTCATACTTCTACTGTTTAAGAGCCAAACTGACAAGATGTCTTTCTTCTCGCCGATGTTCAAGGGTATGGATCCTATCTTGCAAATTTCAGTTTCTTTTAGGACTGAGGTCTGAAAAATTTTGCATTCTGAGCTGATTGATTTCTCAGCGCAAACAACAAATAGTTGAAGCAGTTAATTTTTGCTGAAATATAATAGCTCTTAGCATTTATCGAGTAGTCTCCGTTCTTATCGCTGCTCGTCGACCCTCCACGGCTGAAAATGTACCCATATGCTCACTAAGGTCACCTTTTGCATGTTGGATTTGTCGGAACATTCTAATGCATCTATAAAAAAATTCCAGACTCTTTGTTTGTTTATCAGTACCAGGTCTGCGCTGCAGAGTAAACAAAGCGAATCGAGTCGACTAGTTTGATTTGGAGGGTTGCCTATTTCACACAATAAAAGTATCTTCATTAGTGCGAGTAACAAGCGAAGCTGAGATACCGTAAGGAAAACTTGCAGGCATATTTGATCTTTACGTTCCAACGTTGCGTTAGATGAATGCAGCACAGTTTTACAGCTGGAGAATTTAGAAGAATGCTAAATGAAATTTAGTAGGCGTAGAGAGTGGCGAGAAATTTACACCTCATTCTTCTACAGTCTTTTCTTTTGGTGACAAAATACGAAATTAACAAAATGAAAAAAAAAAAAAACTTTGGGCTCACTTTAGCTAATGCTCAACATTGAAAGTCCAGAAATGCATTTCGTACCTGGAATTTTAAGGTCATCACGAAAAAAGTTTCAAATAATATACCTAAAATTTATTTGCAGGCGGCATGGCCGATTCATCAAATGTTTTGAAAAATGAAACATCCGAGCTGGAATTGATTGAGGAGGATTTGGTTACAATAGCAGCCAGTTCAGGTGGTAGCGGTATTCAGCAGCATCTCCCTCGTTTTAGTTCAGCGGCAAAAACTGTCATCAAGGGTAAACAGTCTCGTCATTTCAAAATGCATGCGTAACTGTGAATTTTTCAGGGTTTTGTTATACATTTTTGCACATTTGTGCAAATACACATACTGGCAACTCGGTTTCCATTTCGTCACTTTTATTTTTCCCCCGCAACCCTTGCCTTTTCCCACCACATGAAACTGACGAAACAGTCGGGCGGTCCATTAACCGCAGCTTAAAATGACGTCCACTTGTTTATCCTTCACATCCTTCGCCTTAGTTTATTTTTTATGCGTTTTTGCCATGCAGCGCCAGAGCGTTGCAACAGGCAGCAAATACGCATAATGCAACACCCTGTGTGTGTGTGTGTGTGTGTGTGTGTGTGTGTGTGTGTGTGTGTGCGTGTGTTTGTCCGTCCGGGTATTTCAACTCGCCAAACATGCAAGCTTTGAAGCTGGAATTTCGCCAGTATGCTCCCCAGCCAAGTGCCACTCCAGGACCGCGGTATCAACTCTCACGCACGTCTGGGCTCCACGTACGGGCACGTGAAAGTTTCGGCGCAAAAATTACTAGCCCGAGAGTGGGAAAAGCTAGAAAGTTA